CATTGTCAATATTTTTAAAAAGTTTTAAAATGATTTATTTTAATTAAAAATTCTTAAAATAATTTTTGTGAATTGTTTAGAATTTTTTCATATTTGTTTGAGCAAGAAATGTATTTTTAAAATTATTTGAGCTAAATGACAATTGAGGACAGTTCCTCAGGACACTCAATTAGTCAATGGGTATCCATGTGGAGGCCTTGGGGGTCGCACGTAGAGGGTAACATGGGGGTGACATCAACCCCCTTAGGGAGACCATATCCTTTTGTTTTTTGTTGGACTAAGTGAGGGGCATATATTATGGTATTTTATGAAATATTGTGGTTTTAAAAAAATATTGCGAGCACATGTTAAATATGAAAAGCAAGGGGTTTGTGCACATGTATGAGGATTCTAGAAAGGGCATAGGGCTTATAATTATAAGCCCAACCTAAGGGTATATGGTAATTATGAAATAAACCACCTAGTTTATGTGCTACATGCTCTTATAAAATGCAGGGAAGTTTTGAAATTTGCTTTTGCTAGAATTTTAAAAAATTATCACAACAGTATGACCTAAAAATTGATTTTTGATTTAATTAATTATTACAAGCATGGGTATTTTAATACAAGAGAAATTGGAGTGAATTAAAAGATGATAAAGGCATTTAAATCCATACCAAACATCTTGAGGGCATGATAGCGGATAATCGGTGAAGAGCAAGCCTCTCTTTGTAGCCATTAAATGATGACATGGAGGGTCAAGATTTGTCTACTAGAAGCATCTATACACTTCGTGGTTAGAAGCTTTTTAGTACCCCTTTTAAGTCTTTATAGCACAGTTGAGTTCACTCTCTTTCTCTCTCTAATGGCACGCCACTCTCTCTCTCTCTTTCTAGCTCTCTAAGTGGCACAGCCCTAGGCATTCTCCTCTTCCTTTCTCTCTTTTCAAAGTATGAATGAAGGTGACGTGCTAGAAAGTTCCATTGCAGCTCCTTGATGACTCAATTAATAGTGATTCAAAGCTTAAATCTAAAGCATGCATGATCTAGTCTTAAAGCCTTCATCAATTGAGTAAGAACTTACCATTTTCCTTTGATTCTAATTGATTCTCCTTGTTGTAATTTCCTAACTACGACAAGCTATCTGCATCATTTAGATGATAGATCATTGATTTCTTAGATATATCTGGATCCTTTTTTATCCATATAGTTGAAGGCATCATCCATGTACAAATTGATCTAGTTTTCATGATGTTGTTTTCATAAGAAGAGATTATGACGATATTATGTGGCCCGATTTGTGAACTCAATCAAACCAGTTTTATATTTTAAGATCTACAATTTCTGTCATGATTTTCCCACTTGATTTGATCATTTGATCTATGCAAATCCTTGCATGTTTCAAGTATATATCAGTAGATGCTTGGCATCCCACTCTTGGGATGATGAATTTGGCCGAATTTTGAGTTAGGCCATCACTTGTACCCGAATGGCACATAGCTAAGGCTCAAGGCCATAAACCGAGCACTTGAGAGCTCCAATCGACTTCCCATAGACATATTGCATTATACACTTAAGCATATGTGTGTTGCTATGTTGGAGATTATGTCATATTGAGTTTTATTAAGTTTATTGATGTATAATTTTGCATTATAATTTTGAATTGTTCAGAAATTTCAAAAGCACCTCATACATGTATAGTTTGATGATCTCTTTTAATAATTTGTTTTGTTGATGGACAAGAAATCATAATTGAGTTGTATCATCTATTTTTTTATTGTATTTTTTAGTCATATCTTCACTATAATCACAGTAAAGTTGCTGCAATTTTATGTTGTAAGTTGAATTTAGAGTATATTGTGAGAAATCAAGTTGTATTGTCTTGAGTTTTTCACATAACTGTAGTCCAAGTGTAGGAGGAAATTGTACTTGTCTCTATGAGGGTTTCATCGAAGGGCATAGGCATGGCTTTTGTTTTGGGCGGACCTCAAAACGATCTCAAGAAAATTACATTGGAGTGTAAAATTTCAACTCCACGGCAATTAGCTTATCCCAATACAAGCGTGGATTGTGCTATTCCACCTATTTCGGTGGAATTGGCTTATCGACCTTTTTGACTGGAAAACACGGATGGTGTAATTCATGGGACTATGTAATCCATGCCATATGTGCTACCAAATGGCGAAGAAGGGCCGAAAAGTTCGATAATCTTATCCTGGAGAGCCCAATCCAAGTTGCCAAATGCCCTTGATTTCTATACACTCAATTCTGAGTTGAGCCTGGGGTGGTACAAGGAAGGTCGGAGAGAGAGGAGGAAGAAAAAAAGTTTGATGAAGGGGCAGTAGGAAGAGGCAATACAAAGAGGTGGGTAGGAGTTGGCCACCAGAGGATTGGAGAAGCTCCATATTTGGATGAGAGGTGGAGATCACGGGGTGAGAGGGAAGCCGCACACGTGAGAGAGGGGTTCAGTATAGGGGCAAAAGCAACGGTCAAAAGCCTATGAGCGTCTATGAAGGGACAGTGTAATCAATGGGGTATAATAAACTTTGGCTCAACCACCATGGGTTTCGGCAGAGCGACCCTCTACTTCCCGGGGATGCTGATGCCAGTGATATGGACACAATATAGAAGACCATCGACGTAGAAATGCACATTGGAGGGTAAGGATTGGGGATCAAGCGCTTAAATGAGGATTCTGATGGATCCTTGAGGGAGATTGCCAATGCACATAAACAAAAGTGCCGATGTGGTCTCCTATGGTTTTGAAGGTGAGCGGGTGCCAAAGGATAGGAATGTGAGAAAACCTCTAAGAGACCCAAGAGTTGGGTACCAGGTTTCCAGAGTCAGAGCGGCACCTTTTAAGGGAGGACGGGAAGATTGAAGAGCCATGCGAACATAGAAATCCGAGTAGAAGAAGAATAAAATGGAGCCATCCCAGAGTTTTCTCGTTGCATCAATAACGCGTGGAAAACTATCTCGTGGCATCCATAACACGTTAATTTTGCAGTATCCCTTTTCTCTTCGTCAAATTTTGGTTGGCGCGATCTTTTTGGGTGTAAATCGTTTATCGCTGCCCCTTGATATTTAGTTTTTACTCGTAAACCTGCACCCTTGATATGTAGTTTCAATGTGTAAAGCAACTCGAAAACCTTCATTCAAAGTCCATGGCCGATGTAGAAAAATGTCGTCCCTAATGGTTAGTTGAAGGCTATTTACATATCGAGCTACCTTTTTTCCATCTCTTTTAATTTGTTTATGATCCACAAGAAGAAAATTTTCTTTTAATTTCTTTTTCAACTTTTTGCTAATTTTTCATTTTCCACTATGAAGTCGGGATCGTTGAACTTGCTCCCACCAAGCTACAACATACCCACAGAGCTTGTAGCAACAAGTTTAACATTACATTCCTCTGGCAATTCACTCTATTCGAAATATTTCTCAACTGTACTTAGCCAATCAATAAAAGCTTCAATGTGAAGCTTACCACAAAATTCTGAGAGATTGATTTTAATACGGAAATCTCGTAGTTGCTCTACAGTATGTGGATCTTGTTTGCAAATTTCTTCTTGACGTTCTGGATCAGCAGCCCGGGTCCGTCGAAAAGCTTGTTTTGTCTCTACAGTGAGATTTAGGGGCAAGTTAAGGTTGCAGGCACCCCCTTCTTGATGAATAATGTCCTCCAATCATTGCAACCTCTGACTGGTTTCACTTATTTCTCATCAGATACCCTCCAACGTTGTATTCAAGCTCTCCTGAATTTGCTGACCCATATAATCTATGAGTTGCGATAATATATCCTCGAATGTAAGAACAAGTTTTGACAACATCATAATTGTTGGATCTCTGGCTTACTGGCTCTAATACCAACTGATGCAGGGAGAAATAATATACTTATAATAAAAATAAAACAATGGGTGAAACATTAAAGAAAAAACAATAACAAATATGAGAGAATATAGCCTCTCTCAATATTTACAAGGGGAATCCACCCCAAAAACAATGTCGTAAGGGAATCCACCTATAAAGATCTTATCACAAGATCAATTTTATTCAACTCTCATTATCTGATTATTCTCCAATCATTTATAATAAATGGATATCTCCCTTTAAATAGACTTCAAAAAATAAATAAGAAAAAAAAAAACCCTCTCTATCTTGGATAAACCTTTCCCTTATCTCTCTCCTCTACCTCACGTGCCATCTCACTCTCCCTGTCTATTCTTAATTAAAAATAAATATAAATAAACTCTAATTTTTATTTGCATCAGATTGTCTCTCCGAAGAGAGAAACACCCAACCAAAGATGAACCCAAATTTGATTTCAAGAAAGATAGAGGGAGTTTGATGGCGATAAAATTGTAGGTCTTTGAGTAGAGAGAAGTGGAAATGGCGGGATGGGAGTCGTGAAAGGTCGGAGTTTAGGGGAAGGGATAGAGCGGAATGTTGACGTAGGGTTGAGTTGGGATTGGTGTTGCTGGGTGGCCGGGAAATGGGGGAGAAAGAATGTACAAAACCAAAGAAAGAGCAGATTTGAAGGACACAAGTATTAGTGGGTCAAGCTCTCAGACAGACCCACGCTTTAACAAGAGAAGCATACTCCATACAAGATACGCCCAATGCTAAATGAAAATAGAGCTTTCTGTACAAGGGAAGTCAATTTCACTCGTACACAATGTAATCACGAGGAGTTGAGGTCAACAGATTTATTGCAAATAGAGTTTAAAGTTTAAAGTTAGCCGTCTATACTTTTTTATAGATTTTTGTTTTGTTGAAGTTGACACAATACGTTGCATGGTTTGATGAAGTTGATCAAAGAAATACCAAGTGCATGAGAAGACGACACCCCGCATTTGCATCAAGTCTCATCTTAACATAGAAGAAAACTAAGCTTCCTTTTCGTTTCTTTTTTTTCTATTAATGTTTTGAAGAAAACTTATTTTTGCAAGACCACTAGAATCTAAAGGAATAAAAAGGGCAATAGCTATAATCATGCGTTATTGCTAAAAAAAAAAAAAATACATGATCCGCAATGCAACATCTTCCCAATTTATATATTGAACACCGATACCACTGTAAGTAGTTAAATGTTACAATGTGTATTCTGCATCGAAACTCAACCCAACAGGGTTTGAAGGCAAGAGAAATCATGTGCGATTATAAGAACATTGGTAGGAGGAACCTCACTGGTTAGCCTTCAAAATAACAAAAAAGCTATAAAAAATTACACTGTATATATATTGATTGCACAACCATTTTTGGATAGCTCTCCCGATGGGGATCTGATCAACAAGGAGATTCCAGGATACATTCATGGCTATAAATACTCTTTTCCAGTATTAGCGACATTCTTCAGGAGTATCCAACGTCTCGACGCCAAGCTAGTAACACTTATGGAGAGAGCAGCCGACAGCAACAACTGGAAAACTGGAATTAGGTTGGCAATCATCCATCTTATGTAATCTCCCTGAATTTGGCCGAGGTAGGCAATCCGAGTCCCAAGGACCTCTTTATTCCATATCATTGTACAGAATCCACAAATGATTAGCTTCCAGTTAGACAATGGCTCACCCTTACGCATGAGTAGTCAACGTAGCTTTATATATGTCATCCACAATTACAAAAAGCTTGTGCTTTACCCACCCCTCAAAACAAAGAAACACCAAATCCTCAGTTACTCTTATAATTTCTTGAATATGTAGAAGACAGTCTAGAAGGGCTAGCATTAAAGACATCAAATGATGCTGACACCCCTGAAGCTCTTCTTATGGCAGATGGGGAATCACTTAGTAAAGGCTCATATACTGAGTTCCTGCTCTTCGGTAGCGTTATCGACATTGGAATGACTTCCTTCTCAGTAGTCCTTGACTGCGACTCCATGTTCCCAAGAGGCAGGTAGGGTGCACGCAAACGCTCTGCCTGTTGCAGTATATTAATGGTACTTGACCTATATGTGTAGCGGAAGTACTTTAGAGCTAGAACTGGAGCCATACCAACGATCACTAGAAGCTGCAAAATCAAGAACAATCCATAGTCACTACAAGCCACAAAGATTTGTTTCTTCTGCTTTGTTTGCAAAAGGAAGGTTCAATAATCCCGTGAGCTTCCTCAATATTGGATGTCTCACAGATAAGTCTAAGTGCTTAGAATTAAGAAACCACAAATATTAATACTAAGGTTTATACTTTAGGGAAGAATTCTATATTCTACTGGGCTCTAACCACACTAAGGTTTATACTTTAGGGAAGTATTCTATGATGTAGTGGGCTCTAACCATACTCTTCAGGTTCTCACCATCCATTGAAATGTACAGTAAAGGAGACAAAGTGAATCCCACCATTGGCTTCATCCTGTTCTGTGAACCCCACTCTCCCTCTATCATCCATCCATCATTTTAATGGAGGGTAATAACCTGATGGAAAATGAATTTATGTAGACCATTTGTTTATAGTATAATATCTCTGTACTTTTGCAATAATGCATAGCAAGTAACTCACCATCATGGTTACCCAGTAAGCTGGCTGACCACAGATTCGGAACATCACTGTGTACATCCCAGCCCATGGAATGGTACTGACCAAAAAATTAATGATATAGAAGGCAACAAGGTTCCCCCAAATAGCAAGATGTTGCAATAGCGTGAAGGAGCTGCATGCCAAACATAATACAATGAAAGATATGAGGAAAAGGTTAAAATAGGACTTATGGAAAAGTAGAGCCTCATCTCAAAATTCCGAAAAAATGGCAGTTCTGGCATCGGAGAACCTTCAAATTGATCATCTCGACTTTGAAAATTATGGTTGTGAAAAAGAATTAGGATTTCAAGCCCTAAAAATAGTGCATATTGCAACACATCATCCAAACCATCCATTTTAAAGCATTCACAAATCCACAAGATTTGTACCATTTTTTTAGCTACAAATTTTATAATCAGTGGTGGACATTGATTTTAGAGCCATCATAGAGATTTCCCATGCCCAAATTGGTGAGGCTTTACTTTTTTTCATTAGGCCTACGCCATTAGAAACTGCATCCAAACATATTTTCTCACATCATGTACAACTAAACATATTTTCTCACATCATGTACAACTTCGAAGCTTACTTTGTTTCAAGAGTCACAACAAATGCTTGCAACCATATGCATCCCGACAATGCAACCATAGATAGCTCTTCCATTTCACTTCTCTCATCAGAGTAAACATGTATAGTTACAATGAATACGACAAGTGCCTGCGGTGTATCCGACAGTCAGTTGAACAGAAATCCAACAAGAAGCCAAATTAGTCAATTTACAAGTCACATAGTTATATTAGCCGCTATCAATACCAGAGTGAGAGACAAAATAAGAAGACTACAAAGAAAATCAGGATAGAAACTCACAAAGGAATCTTGGATAAGTAGCTCTAGCAAATGTCACATAAGCTCATGCATCATAAAATCCATCTGGCAAGAGTGTACTTGGCCGGCCTATGAATGTTCTTTTTTCGCTTTTTTTGCTCTTTTCGATAGAGTTGATATCTTTACAAACATCACATAGTGAAATGAAGGGACTGGTAAACAGAATTTCCATCCTTTGTACATCTTTGAAAGTAAAAATATTAGCATGAGTTAGGCTTAAATAAGACCAGACATTTCTTTATGGGTGCGGTTTGTATAGAGCCGAGGCTCTAAACAATCAAAGTAAACCTTCAAATAGTATAGAGAAATGTGGTTTCAATACTGGAAATCGTTGTGATAGCCTTAAAATATATTTTCAGCTTTAATTATAAAATTTAAAGCTTCAAAAATAGTGTAGATCGAGCGGATCCATGAAAACTTGAAAATCTTGAAAACTGACGGTCCAAAAATGTGTAAGAAGATGCACTACTTCCAAAACTTGAAATCCATTTTTTTCTTATGTTCATGCATTTTGATATCGAGATGATCAATTTGAGCATATTTGGGCATCAAAACAACCTCTTCTAGTGAAATTTTTGAGGTGGGGTCTAAATTGATTGTTTAGAGCCTCGGCTCTATATAAACTTCTTTTCTTTATAGGGTTATGTTAGGGTGCTTACACTATGGAGTAATTTATCATTGTACTCAACAAATTTGAGCACTTATATACCCTTGTTTTATACATAGAGTTTGTTTTTAGTAATGGTATTTTTGGCCATTAGGAGGGGTGTGATGTCATCTACATGGGATATGACATCACCCACATGGAGCATTAAATGTCACTAGTATGCTCCATATGGATGATGTCACAACCTATGTGGATGACGTCATATCCCTCCTAGTGACCAAAAATACCCTTATTAAAAAAATGCTCCATGTACAAAACAAGGGTATAGAAGTGCCCAAAATTTGTTGAGTACAATGTTAAATTACTCTATAGTGAGAGCACCCTAACATAACCCTTCTTTATATACCATTCTCTATTATTATATTCAAAGCTGCCATGACACATCAACACTATTGGGTTCCTGACACATTTTTAAGAATGGTTTCGTAAGGCTCTTCCAAAGTTGGAATGAGAATGGGTTGATGAAAGTGACACAAGGAATTCAGTAGCAATATGATGTCCCTTTGTATAAGGGTTTTGTGGGACTTTTATTGAGTATTCTTTTCTTTTAATTTTTGTATTTCAGAGGCAAATTTTCTTAAAAATGGTCCTCAAATGAACATCAAAATCTTGTTTTCCTTGTTTCCATAGCAATTTCATCAAATGACAACATGAATTGGTCATTTATACCCAGAAATATAAATTAGAGAAATCAAACAACAACAGCGAAGGATCTCTTATAAACATATCTTTTTGCAATCACCACAGCATGGCAATAGCCTGGTTACGTACATCCATGGTAAATATATTATGCTAAATTACAAGTGGTCCATCAAATATTAAAATCAATTTTCTGAGTTAATCAAGTAAAATATGTGGGTTTTGCATCAGGTACAAAGCATCAATGTATAAAATGATAAACCTGTGCAAATAAGTGCAAAATATGCATCATAAGATCAATGTTAAAGAACATGACACTCACATGAAAAAGTGATCTGCCAAACCATCCAGCAAATGTGCTTGGGTTTAATAGCCTGATTCCATACGATAGAATTAGTTCAGTATGGATGCAGTCGCAAAACAACTAGTATCATATGATTGGTACAACAATGTTTTGTTAAGTAACAGAAAAAAAATAATAATGTTGCTATATAATGAATTCAATGTATGGTAGACACAAAGCCTTAAAAATGGTCAGCCAACCTTCCCGCTTGGCAATAATATAATATTTGTGCGTGTTGCATCACTGTTTTTTCATGAAGGTCTTTGTCAAGGACATTCATCAACACTGGTATACTAGTGTAGAAAACATTGTAAGCCATCAAGCTCACAGAGTTGAACAAGCTGGTTCCCGAGACACCTGAAATAAAAGAGAAACTGCATCCATGTTCTCCAATCAGCGATGGATGTAGTCGTCACTCAAAATATGAAAGACAAATTAAAAAGAAAAATGTCATATTTTCCATGGCCACAATAGATGTCAAATGAAGCTCGAACAAAACACATAAGATAGAGAAAAGTAGCTTACAATATTTGGATAAAACAAACCAGCAACGACTTGTAGAAGGAATACTGGGACAGAAAAGCAGTGCGGTTATATGAATATCTCCCATGAACAAGTATCAATCTTTTGAGAAATCTAAATTCTGCAAAACAAAGAAAAACAAGTCACAGAGAAGTGAGAACCTCTACCATTTTATTCAATAAATAAGTTTTCTAGCTTTGTGCATGATATATTCAAATCGCAAATTAATTTCAAGGTAATCAGAACTGGGTGAAATCAGTGAAGCGACAACAGATTAGCACCCATGCCATTTCATGTCTAGTTTAATTATTATATTATCGCAAAGATGTATGGTCAACAACTTAGAATCGGTTGCTTCAAATTAAAGCCAGATTTTTTTGGGGATAATGGAAGGAGTACTCAAGAGAAAACTAGCAGATGTGAAATTTGATAACTTACTCCCAATGCTATAATCAGCAGCTCTGGCTGCTTGTTGACCTTCTCTTCCACTAATACCAACACCTATGTCAGCCATTTGTATCATTCGTACATCATTTCCACCATCTCCTATTGCAAGCGTCCTGTAGTCACATCTCTTTAAAAGTTCCACAAGCTGCAATGTATTTCAAAGGAAACATGAATAGAAACATTAAAAATAATATAACATACAAATATAATGCAATATAACGAGTCATAGGTTATCTGTAGGTAAATAGATAAGTAGCATCGTACGGCAAGAAGCGAAGGAGAGGAATTAAACTTGGAGCAGATCAGCAAACTGCCAACAAAAAGCTGGTATTCTAATCACTTTAAACAGGCCGTTTTTTTTTTGGTAGATCAACCATTTAAAAAGGCTTTCTTCCAAAATAAGAAGAGATGCTCCCTAACAAGGAAATTGTGAAACCCATTAAGTTTCTGCATGGAAAGAGGTAAGTCTATCCTTATTTTTTCTTATATAGTATTTTCACCTCGCTGACTAGGAATTTTCTCAGTATTCTGTATCATTTTGAAAATTCAGCATATCCATTGTCTATTGAAGAGACCCAGGAAAAACTTGTTCCATATAAAGAATTGCAGTGGTTGGAAGGAAAAACAATGGGATCCTCAACAAATCAGCTTTGTGATTAAATAAAATTGAGGTTCAAGGGGATTTGTCGACTGGATTGTTAGGATAGGAGTGTCAACATCCTGCCCAAGGTTCAAAATTCAGATATAGTGCTCCACATGAGACACGGGGTGGTTACCATTACATACTAGAAAAGACCATAAAAATGGATATGGAAGGAAAACAAATTAGTTACTATAATTTTTTAATAATGTTACTACACATATTATTTAAAATACTGGATACAAAGGTGTTATAAATGATATAACTTGCATTAAATTTTTTATCATCAGGAACGGGAAGTTTCTGTTACAACCATTATTTTCACTTTTTTGAAACCTTGATCATGTCAATGTGATTGGCTATAGAGCATTATTTTTACACAAAGTATTCCATGAATCATGGGGTGGTAAGTGTAAGCAATGTTTCAACTGGACTTTTCAATATATGCATTGCTATTGATTCCTTAGGCAGTTAAGAATGTGGCAAGAAAGAACCCTAGAGTATCAGCCTCATGCCGACCAGCCTAAACATCTGGGTTTAGTAAAGACAACTTCTTTTGTATGTAAGCATGTGCATGCGCTTGTGTTTTTGCCCACAAGAATGAGAAGAGAGATCCCACCAGCATACTTTATGGGTATAGTCAAGAGCCAATATAGATTTTAGAGGCCATTATCTACTGTGGGGATCAGATTCAGAGGACCGACTAGTCAAAGATTAGGGCCAGGGCCAGCCTGACCATCCAAGCAGAACATGGGCCATGTATGGTTTGCAAAGAAGGTCCTTCATGCCAGGCTGGGCCAGGTGTAAATGTTGGACTTGGTAAATTTGCAGGGCAGGACCAAGCCTGGGTGGTGAGGCCCTACAGACCCTCATTTAAGTAATAATGCTTTATAAGTTTTTCTATTTTTCGTGGTTTAGGTGGTGGCTTCATTCATCACAACTTCCAAGCTATCAACCCCACATCCCAGCTCTGTCATGCTGGCCGATCCAAAAGAAGCTCTTTTCGAAAACAAGCGTTACCAGACATTGGCTCAAGCATGAGAATGACAAGCCGGTCCAGGCCCAGCTAGCACCTTGAGTGAATGAGCCTGGTCTGAGGCACTTGGGTCATGAGCCAAGTAGAGGATCCACCTCAGCCTGGCGCAGACCGGGTCCATTGCAACCCTTGCCAAGATTGTGCACTTTTATCACTATGGGTTGACTCAACATCATCAATTCACTTTACTGGCAGGAGATCTCAACCTTGCTTTCAAAACCAAAGCAAAGTAACATCCAAAATGACATAGGGCCCACTTTGGCGCTCTTCAGTAGAATTCATTAAAAGCTTACATACCTCTAGTTGAAAACATTTTCTATGTAATTTTCAATTTTGTCTTTTTTATTGTTTAAAAGAGCATCTAAAGACTTCCCTTAAGTCATTCAAGCACTAAACTTGTCTACCCCAGCAAAACCAAATCGGGCTCTGAAATAGCATGGACAACATCAGTTGAGAAAGAAAGATAGGTGATGACATTGAGGAAACAGATTCACAGTCCAATGTCTAAATAAGGTGATGCCTTATGTATTCCAAATTCTGCATAGAATGGCAGGTATCTTGGAAACAGGCTATGTTCCGTGAAATTTTTGACATCCATGACTTCCCCTCAGGAATAGAGAGAATCAAAAGATCATTTATATTGGTGGGATGTAAGGCTTGTCTTTGTGTAGGATAAATTTAGTAAAAGAGATCATTTGTTCTTGTCCAATTCAAAGAAAACCATGTAAAAGAAAACGATAACTAAATGGCAGTAGACACCAACAAAAATCGATAATCTAAACCTGAGCTTTCTGTGATGGAGTAACACGGCAACAAATAGCTGTCCTTGACAATAGAGCTAATTGTGTAAAGGCCTCACGATGATGCTTAAGAGTCATTTCAAGAGCCCAACCATCGACGACAAATGCAACATCCTGTTCAAATACCAGCAGCAGAAACAACATTTAGATACATGTATACAGCAATGCATCTTTATAAGAGTGCTAGAAATAGACACAAGCACATTTACAGTTTCTAGTTTTGAATAGATTTCAAACATTAAATCATAGTCAGAAAGTAAGAAAAGTAAATTGACACACCATTGAAGAATTTATGCATGCATCTGATAAGACTACGAAAAGAATGCCGTCCAAGCACATGATACAACTTCAAACTTGAATTGCTTCAACCCTTATGGAATAACCAAATTCTATCATCAGCACAAGCTAATATTGGAGTTCTATGAATTAAGTAAAGTTTGAATCCCCTGCTTGTCGAGGGCGTCCCTAAGAACATTATTATCTGGATCTCCAAGTTGACTCCCTGCCCTTGGAAGCTTGAGCCCATTTTTTACTAAATTTTTTACATTACTAGCTCGATGACGGTTACATTCAAGCATGTGTGGAGAGAAGTGAAATCTATGCTGATGCTCTTGCACAAACGGAGCTGATTCCCAAATTCTTGCTATCTCACCCTCTTTACCATCATAGTGAGGCTGGCGTCCACAAGTAAAGGGCATTTTGTATTCTCCTTGCTCTTGAAGGTTTTGTAACTTGCATATTTTTCATATTTTCTTAAGAGGACATTCTCTTGTAAATAAAACAGTAGCAATCAATAGAGTGAAAGCAGGGATAGCTAAATGTAAATTTCAGGAAAAAGAACCAATTCCATGCAGGGGGATTGACTCATCCAGTTCCCATTGAAATAGGATCTACACAAGCAAAAGCACTTTCCATTCATAGATTATCAAGGGCATCCCAAAAAAGTGTGAGTCGAAATATGGCTTTCAAATTAAGTTCCGAATTAGTGTATGCTGCCAAAGGGAACAGCAATGTCATATACAAAAAGGAAGAGACTCTAGAATGGCAAGGCCATTAGAGACCTTGCATATTTTCGTTAATCCGTGAATATAAATATATATAGATTGACAGATTGGTTCGAATGGGTTTAGTCAAAGAAGATTTATCCTGTCCAGCCACATTCATTAACCACCAGAAAGGATGTTCTACCTAGTGAGCTAAACAATTCCGATTCTTGTTCTCATACATTTGTAGCCCCAGTGTCATAGTTTCCATGTGAATGTCCCCTGAGATAAAGTGTCATAGCTCAGAAAGGTTCCAATATCCAGATTCAATGGCAACTTAAAAGATCTCAATCCAAGAAGTTGATCTGAACATCCAGATTTCAGTTTTTTTTCTAATTAGAAACGGCCTATCAAATTTTTTATTCTCATTTCGCTTTGGCTAAAGAAAACAAGCATACAACAGAAAAGCTGATCAACAACAGAAAAGCTGATCAACATAGAGCTGGCTGTCCAACATATAGCTCGGGGTGCTTTTAGCCAGGAAGCCAGTCTCTAGTTTGCAGGTGGTAGCTTGTGAGCGCAAGGGCCAAATCCTCAACATGACCAGTGCGCATGTACATATAATAGCCGCATTATTGGTAGTTCATGTCCCGCATTTTAAAATACTAGGCAAGACGGTGAAGTCCACTACATTCCATAGAGTCCAACTCCACTATGGAACATGCCAATTCTATTGGCCATTGTCATCTAAGTAGAGCCTGCTCTAATGGCCTCTTCTATCCAAGTAGAGCTCAACACTCACATGGCCTCTTTCATCCATGGAGCCTGCAAATATGGCCTCTTTCATATACAAAGCCTGGCATTCATGCAGAAAAATCTCACAAAGAGTCCATTCACATGGCTTATTTCATCCATAGAGAACCACACTCCTGAGAGTATAAAATATAAGTACTCATACACATGGGAATGTCTGATAGCTAAATACCAAAGACCAAGTGGTGAGACCTTTAAAGCCCACAAACTTGAACTTAATTTTTATGGCCTCTTTCATCGACAGAGCCTGCAAATATGGCCTCTTTCATATACAAAGCGTGGCATTCATGCAGAAAAATCTCACAAAGAGTGCATTCACATGGCTTATTTCATCCATAGATGACCACACTCCCAGAAGCATAAAACATAAGTACTCATACACATGGGAATATCTGATAGGTAAATACCAAAGACCAAGTGGTGAGACCTTTAAAGTCCACAAAACAAACAACAGACTTGATCTTAATTTTTATGTGAAAAGATTCCCCAAAGTATGAAAACAACAACAAGATCACCTGCACTTCACATTGTAGAACTTGTTACTCCACACTAATGAGAATGTACTAATCACAACGTCCGTTCCCTTCCTCAAGAACGCACTAATCAACAAATGTATAGGTGCATAAAGCACATGTGTGAGTATGTTAGTGGTAAGAGTGAAGAACAATCAATATTTAGAAGGAAGTTGACAAAGCGCAACTAAAGAATGAGGTTTGCAAGTAGCCACTGGGCATGATCAAGGTTCTACAATGGAAGTCCGACCGTATGTCTCAAGGTTCCAATCTTATGCTAGGAGTTTACAAACACCAGAGACCAGACCTCCTCAAACTACATTTTTTATTTTTGTAGTTTCTTACATCAGATGTTGAACTTTTGCTCATAGACGTAGGAAGCTTGGTGGAGGGTGCCAATCCTGCCATAAAATCTCACTCCGGAGATCCTGGAGCCAGAGCCAGAGCCCGAGCCCGAGCCTGAGCCCGAGCAGCACCCGCTCCCCCACAAAGTGGGCTCGATCCCTAACTAAGAGGGACCTTGATTGCTTTGAAAGAGGCATTGAGATCCCACTGAAAATGAGGGGCAATCATGGTTTCAAGGAATCTTGTTCCAAAGGGAAGCTTCAGAAGTTCTTGAATTTTGAGCACAATGTCTTTGGCTTTTGTGCTATTTGTTTACTTTTTGACAATTTTCTAAGGTATGCCTATGGAAGATTTCTGTTTTTCGTTTTCATGGTCTTGGGTTGTATAAATGGTTCAAAACTAGAGAATTGAATAGGAAACTCCTGAGTCTAAAAGAGTACAGTCGTCAGGGTCGTGCAGAACCCCGAGGTTCTCACTATAGTGAATGGCCCTGTCTCGTCCGGTTAGACTCAAGCACTTCCTAAGTTTGACTCATATCATGGCCCCCATCTCATTTTCCTAAAACTTTTATGGGACTTTCAAGCTATAGAATACTACTCATTGTGCATGTGCAGATAAAGCTAAAAACTGGATTATACATTTCTCAATTTTTTAAATCACTTCAAAAAATAATATATCAAGCTGCTCTAAGGCCTGCTTCTTGAACTATGCTTTTGCTTCAAGAAATCAAAACTTTATCTCTCAATGGGTTGACTTTTGAACTACTTGCCAAAATCTTTTTTGTATTCCTTGTTGAATATACGGCCAAAACTTAGAAGAGCACCATTCTACACTATCATGAAAAGCCAAGGAGCTAAGGAAACTCGAATGAGCATATGCAAACTTATCCTGAGAGTAGCGAGCTGACTTTGGAGACTTCTAAGCTGCTGGCAATACAACAAAAGGTAGGAGGATAAACCCCACAACAGTATTCTTTCTTTCTGTCTTTTTTTTCCCTTTTTTTTGGGGGGGGGGGGATGGGGGATGGGTTGGAGGGGGGCTACATCTGCAGTTGCAAATCAATGACATCTAAACTAAGATTTTCAGCATACAATAAAGGCTATGTTGCATCTTTATGTCACGTTGTGTCCACCTGACTGAATTAATGAAATGAACGATGTGACTCAAATTGTTTCCATTGGAAGTTACAATATGACCGATCAAAAGGAAAAAATGATGTGGGTGCATAACATCTTCTTCTCCAACTTTTCATAACATAATTTTCAGATCAACAATCACATTTCCACCCTCTCAAATGGGTTATGCCCCCCATTTTTTCATAAAATTTGCTAATATTCTCAGGTTAATCGTCGTTTCATAATCAGTATAAAAGCAAAGAAATCATTGGAGAAAGATAAAGAAGCAGTTCATGAATGACTTTCTGTAATTAACTATCAACAGTTCTTCATTGCGATGTTATGTTTTCCTCTTTGAAAACAGATTGGCAAAAAAGCAAATCCAAGTACGTTTTGGTAAAGGTAGTTCCGCAAAACAAGTCTATTGGTTTCTACCAAAAATTTAGAAAATATGCAGTTTAGTGACACTGTACCTTTGGCTCTGAAGTAGTAATCCGCATCGTAAGTAGAACCCTTTCTAAGCTTCTTGAGACTTCTTCTTCAGTTTTCCCATGAATCAGTAAAAGTTGACCTTTTGGCTCTGTTGAAGGAAGTTAAAAACCCAGTAATGTACCACATTGTATGACCACTATGCACATAAAAGGTAAAAAAAGGGAAATATCACATACTTCCTGAAAAACGATTAATGATCATACAATTGTCCAATGACACGTCCAAAGAAAAACTAATAAGGAATCGAGAAACCATAACATAGTAAAGTTGAAAGAAATCTGCGATTCCCAACATTCAACAAAACTGGACTCCTATAGGATTGAACAAAATTCCAAGTCATGCATTGAGAACACTTCATCAGAACGTTAAGCACACAAGACACAATCCATTAATATATATAAAGAATATAGATTTCAGATTATATATAGTACATTTTGTATTATGTATCCATGTGTGCAGCATGTTTTGTACCCTTAAAACAGTTGTGTATTATATATGCTGCCACAACGACAACCAATTCAGTTACTAGTTAGTGGATTCATAATTGTGTTTATATATCTATATATATAGGGCGAATACAATGAAATGGTTTTACATAATATAATACAATCGCCAATTCAAAAAACATGTTAGGGCATTTCCAAGTCCCCAACTTATTCACGCGCACTCTCTTAACCTCAATGATCAATCTGATTCCTAAAGTGGATGCACCTAGGGTGATGAAAGACTTTCGACCTATAGGGTTGTGTAATGTCTTCTACAAAATCATCAGCAAAATAATTTCTAATCGCCTACGAGTTGTTCTTGCTAATTTTATTGACCCTAAGCAGGCTGCTTTTTTTAAAGGTAGGCTTAACACTGATAATATTCTCACGGCAAACGAACTTATGTCTCTTTGCTATAGAAACTCAGATCGGCCTAAAATGTGTCTGCAAATCGATTTGAGCAGTGCATATGACAGAGTATCCTGGGATTTTATAGTGGGTACGATGCATGCTTTGGGTTTTCCTGACTTATTTGTTTCTTGGGTTCACTTGTGTATTTCCACCACTTCTTTCTCTGTCCTGAGGAATGACTCGCCCAAAGGTTTTTTTAAAGGTAAGAGAGGCTTGAGGCAAGGGGACCCTCTATCTCCTTATCTTTTTTTGTTGGTCATGGATTTTTTTAGCAGACAGCTTGATTGTGTTATGTTGCAAGGCATGGTTCCCAGAGGGTTTCCTTCAAGGTATGACTATGGGGTCTCTAATCTCTTTTATATTGATGATGTGCTTATTTTCTGTGAGGTATCCATCTCCACTGCCACAGCTATGCGTGAACTTATTAATAAGTTTGAGAGGAGCACGAGTCAGATTCTGAACTCATCTAAAAGCAAGGTCTTTTTCTTTAGTGCACCACGGGGGGGATGGGGAAGAATTTTGAGGGAGTTAAAGTTTGTTGATGGGTTATTTCGTGGAAATCTGAGGCACAGTTATTGTCATAGTCTGGTGGGCAAGGTGTTCGGTTCGGGTATTGGCAGCCTTTATGCCTATCATATGCCGGTCGACTTTAGTTGCTTAAGTCTATAATAGGGGCATCATCGGTTTTCTGGTTATTATCCTTTATTCTTCCGAAGAGAACACGTAATATGATAGAGAGACTACAGAGAAACTTCTTATGGGCCGGGGAAGTAGAAAAAAAAGGTGCTCATCTTATAAAATGGAAAACGGTGTGTCTCCCTATGGCTGAAGGAGGTCTTGGGGTAAGAGATATGGAGGATTTCAATATCGCAGGAATGATGAAGCTAGCATGGAGGATTTTGGAAAACCCATCCTCGTTGTTGGCACAGTACTTCAAACATCGATATTTTGGAAATTCCTCTATTTGGGAAGCTGAAGGCAGAAGAGGATGTTCTCATTCATGGAAGGGGATTTAGTTGGCTTATTTCATTTGAGAGGTAAGGTACAATGGAATATTGGAAATGGTCAATTGGTGGATTTCTGGATGGACCCATGGCTAGCAGGTAAGCCACTTTCAGACCTCCACGATGTTAACATTCAGGAGTATATGGGGGCTGCTGTAGGGAGGAGGGTGTCTGACCTTATAAGAGTTCCTAAAGCTTGGGTTCTGCGGCATCCCGCATCTAATTCTTTGAGGAATATATGGAGAGAGGTTGAGAATTATACTCTTCCTCTACAGCCCAAGAAGGATTCACTGATCTGGATTCATTCCGTTGATGGATTATTCTTTATTAAAAAGGCATGGGATTTTATTAGGCATCAAGGTTCATCACAGCCTATCTTCCGTGCACTTTGGTCCTCCAAATGCTACCCAAGGGCGAAATGGTTTTCATGGTTGGCCTTGCATAATCGATTACCCGCTTCATTCTTACTACAGCAGCGAGGCATGCAACTGGATTCTTTATGTCCCTTTTGTAGTAACCATGATGACAATCTTTTTCATCTATTATTCCAATGTGCCTTTGCGCAGGGTGTCTGGATATCACTCGCTTGGAGATGTGGAAAAAGGTTTGTCCTTGGTACCTCTGTCCCTGATTTACTTAGATAGTGGTTGCTTTTCAAGTTTAAATCACATGGACTTCGTAATATTTGATCTTCCATCTATTTTACTGCTATTTGGTTTTTATGGGAGGAGCGCAACAGAAGAATTTTTGAGTCAAGACCTACCAGGAGAGAGCCTATTGTGAAAAGAATTATCATGCATGTTCAGACACTAGCAGAGGTTAAGAAGTGGTCTTTCCATTTATCAGAAAAGGCCATCATTGGTAACCTTCAGATAACTTGGCAGCAGCAGAGGGCTGAGCCTTTTACTTTGGTAGCGTGGTCTTTTCCTGAGACTCATTATTACAAACTCAATATTGATGGTGCTCCCTTGAGAAATCCAGGTTTAGCAGGTGGTGGTGGAGTTATCAGGAACAGTGTGGGAGGTTTTATTGCTGCTTTTACAAAGCATTTTGGTTTTGCTTCTAATAACCATGCAGAATTCTTGGCTTTTGAGGAAGAAGTTCAATTGGTTATTTAAAGTAATTGCTTTCCAATCCAGATTGAAGTGACTCGGCCTTGCTTGTGAGCGTCATTCAGAATCGATGCAATGCTCCATGGAAACTTAAGACGTTTGTTGACAATTGTTGCACCAGACTGTCTTCTCATCGATGGTCCATCACACATGTCTTTCGTGAGGCTAACATGGTTGTTGATGCCCTAGCTCAGAGGGCAGCTGCTAGCCCTGGTGCTACTGTGTGGCACCATAGACCACCACATTTTCTTTCCTCTCTTTTATTTCATGATCTGGCACAATTGCCCTACCATAGGGTTGTATCTTAATTGTTTTTCTCTGCTTTTTTATTAATGAAAAATGGGTAGGGGGCCTTCTCCCCCACTGACTTACCCAAAAAAAATGATCAATCTCAAACAGAAACCCCAACTTATTCACGTGCAGTCTCTTAACCTCAATGATCAAACTCAAACATGTTAGGGCATTTCCAAGACCCCCAACTTATTCTAGGATTTACACCCCAGAAAAGACCCAAATGAATCTTGCTCCAACATGAATGCAAGCTCTCCATTTGGTGGGCATTCCGATCTAGGTTATTCAGAACTCAAAATCAACTTTTTTTTTTTCCTTTGTAAAATGGTTTATCTCATGATGATAAGGCCACCTACAAAATTTGGGGTAAAAAAAAACCCCCTCAAAGACAGTGTGATCCCTGTCAAATGGAATCCTACATTCATTGCATTAACAAAGAACAACTTTTGTGAGTAGCTTCAAGTTTTTAACTTTTTGAGAATGTTAATAACCATGAGAGGAGTTCATGTTAATATTTGCGTTCAACAAAATGCCCCTAACATCACGTTTGCAGCAAGTTTCATTATATTATTATGGAAACATTACATGAAATCACTTCACAAAAGAACACACACACACAACGTACAAAAAAATGGTAAAATTTAGCATGAACCGCTTAAAAATTATTTAATTTCATAATAGCGCACCCCCCCCTAATTTTTCTTGTAGCACGGCATTAATTTTGGTTAAGTATGTATCATCCACCCTGAAGTTGAAGGGTAAGTTCTATAGGACAACTGTGAGACCAGCTTTGCTTTATGGGGCAGAATGTTGGGTGGACAAAAAACAATATACCTACAAAATGAGTGTAGTGGAGATGAGGATGTTGAGATGGATGAGTGGCATGGCAAGAAGGGATAGAATCCAAAATGAATCCATTCGGTAAAGTTTTGGTGTGGCACCAATTGGCGATATGATAAGAGAGAGTAAACTTAGGTAAGAAGACCATGTGTGACGTCGACATAGTACAGCACCTGTTAGGAGGTACGAGTTAGTTCAAGTGGAAAGATTGAAAAGGGTAAGGGATTGGGCCCAAAAAGACATGGTTGGAAGTAGTCTGGAAAGATATGGGGACTTATGGCCTCACTGAGGGTATGTCCTTAAATAGAGCAGAATGGCAGATCAGGATTCGTGTAGCCGACCCCAATTAATTGGGAAAAGGCTATGATAATGATGTATCATCCACCCCATCCTCACATCTCGCCCCTTCTTTCTTTATTTTTACCTCACAAACTCATGCGAAAAATTATTTTTACCTTAGCAACTCCCCTTCCCCATCTCTTGCTTTTCTAAGAGACAAGAAGAGAGTGGTTGGGGAAAAATTGTATATTTTGTTTGGAACAGTTATTGGGATAAAGATAAAAATAGAAGGGCAAGCTAGTGAAGAGGGGTGGGAGGATATATATTTCTAAAAGTTAATGCTGCATTAAAAAAAAAAATGAGAAAGTGGTTATCATGAAAATGTTTTTTTTGGAGGGGTCTATACAAAATTTTCCCCAAAATAATATATTTTACAAGGATACAAAAGGGTATGTGTTGTGCATAGTCGGATGACAATGCATATAGTTCGAAGGATATGCAGTTGGAGCACACCTACATGTAGGAACCTGCTGATAACAACTAGATAATAATTTCTTTTGCAGAGTATTTACTCAAATTTCACCCATAAAATGTGTAATATCTTCCCACTTTGAAAATACAAGAAGGCAAAGCAAAAAGCGGACTTGTAGCAGAAAATTCAACTTA